ATTTGAAGACATTGTTGAGTAATGTCTGCCACCATCCGAGCTGCCTTGGCTGGAAAACGACCCTTTAGCTGAGGATCCATAATCAAGGACAGTCTCGAGTCGTCAGCAAGGAAAGGCCGACTCCATTTGACTAAATTTCTCTCTTCCTTGGGATGTCGACTGTCAAGATTTTTCCTGCCTGTGAGAAGTTCAAGAAGCACAATCCCAAAACTCCATACATTGCTTTTAGGTGTTAGCAACCCTCTCTCCAGGGTCTCCACTGAAAGATTTCCTAGAGCCTGAAAACATAGAGAGATGTTAAGATAAGCCTAGTTAAAGAAGCATTGATGTAATGATCCCACCCCCGCCCCCACTAGAAGAAAAAGGCTGGAGCCACAAAATGATTATACTATTTGACCACACTTACAACTGAAGTGTTGGATATATCAGTCTCTGGTATGTGGCTAATGCAACCATATCCAGAAAGCTTGGCACTAAAATCCTTGTCGATCTGCATATTGGCAGTTGAAAATTCATGGAACATTGCCTGTCAAGCATTATAAGAACTCAATTATAACACAAACCTAAATCCAAAGTTCGGTTGTTGCAGCAACAAAACAGTGTAATTTTCTCATGTGAAGAAGGCACAAACTCAATCATTTATCTTTTAATGCTTTAGAGGAGTTTTAATTACTTGGAAAGGTCCTTCTTCATGCAGGAATGTAAGACCTTGGGCAGCACATAAAGCAACTTTCATTCTGCTATTCCAGTCAATAGGTGGCCCATTTGATCTTCCATATAAAAGCCTGTCTAAGCTTCCATGATATAGCCTCTCATACACCAACATTCTGCGGTCTGATCCCTCACGTGCATGAAAACCTATCAGTTTACAGAGGAAGGGATGTTGCAAGGATGCTAGAGTATTCACCTCGTTCACAAATTCCTTCAAACCCTGCAAAGGAAAAATAAATGAAACTAATCCTAAACATGCACGAGGTTTTCAAGAATCTCGCAAAGAGAAGGTAGAATTATATATTCAATAAATATAAACCTTATAGGATTTCGGTAAGACCTCTACTATAAGCTGGGTACTGGCTAATTATATTTGCTTTGGCCACAACATTTCCAAGCATTTGTGGACGGTAAAGGGGTATGAAACTTGAACAGACTCAAAACTTATCAACTTCACTACAGCAAGAAAGCAGCCCAGTCTGCGCAACTGAGTCCAATTTCTAGCAATAATGTTGATAAAACTAAACAGGGCTACATGCCAGAGGGTATCGTGTGAGGAAACTACTAATTATTACTAGACAAAAAAAAAAAAAAAGAAAAGAAAAGAAAACATCAAACACCAGCAGATAAAAAATTTACCTGAGTGGAGGGGCGAAGGCGGGTTACAGTGGCTTCAAGCTTGTTTGTACCAGAAACATCATCCCCAAATGAAGCTCGGTAGATCACTGAAGAGAGCCCTTCAGATACACAACACTCGGGAGAGAAGTTGTGGCAAGCAGATGCAATTTCTTCATACGAAAAATTAAGGACTCCTCTAGTAGGCAATGTAGCAGGAAACATAGGAGGCAGAGGAAGTGGTCCAGACGCGTTAAGAGGGCCACTAGTGTTCGTCTTCAGAGTAGCAGTATTCCCTGGTGATGGAAGAGGAAGCGGTTGAGGGCTTGATGAACGATATTCCTTCGTTGAGCCAACACGAGTTTCAGGCTCTTCCTGTTCCTCACATTCAGTGGACAAGAATGCATCTTGTTCTGCAGCACGAAGACTTGATGGGGCAGATAATGCTCGTATCCTACTACTGCTTACCCCATTTTTTGACGGAGCAGGTTCGACCCTAGTTCTAAAACTTGGGGGTGCAGATTGCAAAGAACGTGTACTGGTTTGAGGTTCAGGCAACATAATAGGTGAATGTTGCTGAGTTTTGTCGCGTCTAACATGCATGGACTGCTCAGATTTCTTCTTCTTACTCTTCAACACCATAAAACACCCCATATTGCTTACAAAAATCTCAAGATTCTAACCAAGCAGAATGGTTTCCTGTCATTATACAAAACAAAAAAGAAAATCGAGCTAAGCTTATAAAGTTATAGATATCATTAACTTAAACTTGCCATTTCTGATGTTGCTCAGGAATGTAAAAAAAAATAAAAAATTATAATTGAAGGTTAGGTGCATTTCAACATAATGCATATTTTTCCAATTTTAAGTTGATTTGTATAATTTCAGGCCAGTTTAATGACACGCTTCCTCCATAGAATATCACCACCAATGCAATTTCTGAAATTTACTACCGTTTCCGGAAATTCAATTTCTAGAAATCAATATGCCAAGTTCAGATTAAATCTATTAACAATATCTCGGAGTTTTTAGTATTCTACGACACACAATCTGAACAATCATACAATGCTAACCAAAGCCAGATTCATTAATATCTAAATGTCCATGAAGAACAAAATTGAAAGATAGATGATTAATTACCAACAAAATGGACCGTGAAATTAATTCATTGAAATTGACGAAATTTCCCAGATGAGCTTCATTTTTTAATCTAAGTGATATGAAACTAAAAGCAAACAAAGAAAAAACAAGAACTTTTCCAGTTCTCTTAATAAAGTTCCCCAAACTGAATTTCCCCAATTTCATTATTAAATCCGAATTCAACCAACCCAGAAAAATACAAGCAAACAAAATGACACAAAACCAATCAGAGGAAATGGTTCCTGAACTGAATCTTGAACTAACTTGAAATAAAACCTGGGATCTTTACAATTTTCAGATGAACTCAAATGGTGAAAAAAATAAAATCTTGTGAGTAATAGAGGTTGGTGAAACAAGAAAACCCTAAAGCAAGTCAAATTTCATTATTAAATCCGGATTCTATCCAACCCAGAAAAACACAAGCAAAGAAAATGATACAAAGACCAACCTGAGGCAATGATCCTGCAAAATTAAACCCAATCGTGAACTGAATTGAAATAAAACTTGGATCTTTACAGTTTTCAGATGAACCCAAATGGAGAAAATCAAAATTTGAGACTTTCATTTGGTGAAACAGAAGACCCTAAAGCAAGTCAAATGAATACAATTGAGTAAAGGTAATAGTCGAAATTGGAATATGATGAATAGTAGAAGTATAAAAAATATAGACAAAGAAAGTGAGTGAGCTGAAATCCAATTTAAATCAAATCAACAATTAATTTTAACCCTGTTTCGTAATTTTTCAACGACACATTTCATCAATTCCTATCAAAATTTACTAATTTTAATCACCCATCAAATAAGGCTAAAATTGGGAGACGAGTAAGCAGTGGCCAAAACAAACAATACCCCACCTGTAATTCTCCAAATTAAAAAATGAAATAATTGTTGTTATCGTCATTCCACACAGCATCAGTCGCCTTTCTCATTGTCTTTTGACATTTTTGACCTTATATTTTTGCTCATGCCAACAGATTTTCAGTTTTCTTCCCTTCTATTCTTGTCTAATTATTGTTGAATTAATTTGTTATTTACATTAGTACCCTTGTTCGTTTCACCTACAACACCTACTGCTACAAGAGTTTTTCTTGTATAGATTCATTAGTTGTTGAGAACGTTTTACAAAATCAGTATATAAGACACAAAAAATTATTTACTTAACGTTACAGTGACATGACAAATCAATTAAACTCCTGTTTGGTGGTCATTTTTTGGAAAAACATTGTTTTGAATGGTAAATTTTTGGAGAATGTGTGACTAAAAAGTAGAAAAAAAAATTTGGGTTCACATATATAATATTTTATTGTGAGAATGTGTGATAAAAAATAAGTATGTAGAAAAAAGAATTTTAAAAGAATGGGGGACAAACACGAGCTGATATGTTGATTATTTAATTTCTACGACCTACCATGTTTACATGTTATTGTAGCTTATAATACGTTGATTTAGTATATCATTTTTAGATAAGACATGGTCAATTTTACATACAAATTTAACTTGGCTATGTAGTTTCCTAGTTTTGGCTTTGACTTATCCCTTTTGCCCATTTGATATTGAACCCTCAAAGCTGTGGATTTTTAAACTCATTCTCTCTGCTTTTGATTGTAAAAATTCATTTCGCTCTAATTTTGAGGTGATATATGTGTGTATAATTTTCAGTCATGCTTTCATGTTGAATACCACGTATGATTGGGGGCTGTGTTCCGAGTGTGGAGCTATCTACAAAGGGATAATTAAGACAATTCAACATAAAAGTAAACAAACAAAGAAGAGTCTGTCAAATAGAAATACCTCGATATTCAAAGGATATGGACCTCGATTGAAGTATGTGAGTTAAAGCTCATCCCTTTTGCCCCTTTGATATCAAACCCTAAGAGCTTTTGATTTTTAAACTCCTCATGCACTTTTGATTTAAAAAATTTATTTTCGCTCTTATCTAAAAATAGAAGTGTATATATAACTTTTAGTCATGCTATATGTTGCGTATCATGTGTGATTGAGGAGTGCTCTCCCAAGTGCAATGACAGATCTAGAATCTTGAGCGAACAGGGATTTTTGTTGACCGTTAATCGTCACCGCAATGAAATGTTAAAAATTAAATATATCAATTATTTTGTTAAAACTAAACATATATAATTTTGTTATATTTATTGTCAATATTCACCCAATGACGTAGTGATCAATTTTTGCATAATTCAAAAAAAGGGCAAATGTTCGAATTTTTCCAATTGCATTAAAATTGAACACATAATATTCTGCTACACTTAGTATCGAAATTCATCAATTTCCATGATGGTCAAGCTTTCCATAATCTAAAGGAGAGCACACATGTTTGAATCCTCCCTATTGCATTAGTTTAGTAAAAAATGTTGTCAAGCTTTTCATAATCTAAAGGAGAGCACATACGTTTGAATCCTCCCTATTGCATTAGTTTAGTAAAAAATGTTGTCAAGCTTTCCATAATCTAAAGAAGAGCACATATGTTTAAATCCTCCCCATTGCATTAGTTCGGTAAAAAAATGTTGAACTAGAATAATTGCACGATAAATTGCTTTGGTAGAGCTTTGAAAATGGACAATCTAACCAACTGAATTACAACAAAATGTTCGAAAACAAAAATGAATTACCGAATATATTATTCAAAAAATTTATCTCTGTCACCAAAAATAATTTGTTCTCGGCGGATCCAGTACGTCCGGCCAACGGAACTCTTCAGGTGCTAAATTCACCACTCCCCAATTGTGAAGATAATTATGAAGGGGCAATTCGGACAATTCAACATAAAAGTGAACAACCAAAAAAAGGTGTGATTAAAGGGCATTTGTGTCCATTCAAATGGAAATCCCTCGATATTCAAAGAAGAGGGACCTCGATTGAAGTGACAGATGAGTCAAAGTTTGGAAAAACTATCATGATTTTTTTATGAAAAATATTTGTATGATTCTCCCGTGTAGTCAAATGCCCCAACCAACCTAGATCTTTGACTCTCAACATCAACCGTCCGATTTCGTTCTAGGTGGAAAGATCAACGATGTTTGTGTAGCACGTTAAAGCGACATTGGGTCCCCACTAACCCCAATACTTTTGTCCATAAACATGCCCACACTGCACCTCAGGCTCCTCTCTCCCCTATCTTTTACAATTATGTGAACATGTTCCAAGTATTTTTTTGAATTTAAAATTTGATTTTCTAGGAAATTTTTATAGATGTTTGAAATATAATCAATTTAGGGGTTATTCAATTGAGACTTTTAAAGAGTTTTTGAGATTTAAAAAGTTTAAGGGTATTTCACGTAGACTTTTGGAGACTCTCCAAAAGTATTGGTGTATTCAATTAAAACTTTTATAAACTTTTAAAAAGTCTCTAAAAGTGACGGTGTATTCAATTCAAATTTTTATGACTTTTAGAGATTTTTATAAAAGTCTCAATGATACTAACTTTTAAGCAGAAAATACTCAAATAAAATTTCAAAATTTGTCTCTCATTAATCACAAGATTTTGAGACTTAAAAAANTGCCTTTTACTCAAAAAAATAGGGCTCAAACAGACCCTTAGTATTAAATGATAAATAAAATTAAAATTAGTCATTTAATTCCACCAGTCATTAATTAACATACCAGGGCCGGCCCTGGCCCAAGGCAAACAAGGCCACTGCCTTGGGCCTCAAATTTTTAAGGGCCTCTAATTTTTTTTTTTTTTAAAAAGGCCCAAAAGCTCCAATCCAAAACCCCTCAAACTCTCTTTTAAAAGAAAAAATCTGCAGAGAAGTAGAACAATGAAACAAACCGTCCGTTTTCTCCAATCGTCTTCTTATCTTTACCAAAAATTCTCTCTTTTCCATACGTGACAATTGACGATTCATACTTTTCATTAAACCCTCGTTGAAAATCTGAATTACCCATTATCTTCTGATTCTTTTCGTCATTCTCGTTTTGTGATTTCATTAATCAAATTCGATTTGCAAGAACCTGCTATTAACATTTGAATTTGCTCTAGCTGCCTGAACGAAAGGACTGAGGTTTGAGGGAGCACGACTTAATTTTCCACCGGAGAAGTTGAACACTTACAAGTGAGTTTTTGTTTCTTCAATTGTTTCTCTGAATATTCAAGAAAATATAAATTCCTTTTTAACATTTTTCAATGTTATGAAGATACCAAAATGGGTTCATAATTTATAATTACTAATTTCATAAGTGAAATCAATTACTAATTTAAAAGGAAATTGAGATTTGGGAAAGTTTCTGAAGTTTCTGGGATTCAGGCCAAGAAATTCTTCTTATGGGTTTGAGGTTTTTTGTTACTGGGATTGGATGACTGAATTTTATGTGGATGCTCTTTCGCAGAAACTACCGGTGGACAAATTTGAGACTATTCCAACTTGCAAGGTTGAAGGGATTCAAGATTCTGTCTCTTACCTGGAATCATCAATTTGAGGTAAAATTTGCAATCTTTATGTTTGAATTTGGTTTAAAAATTGAGTCTTTAAGGTTTATAGTGTGTAATTGCATCCATC